TCCACCATTATACATAGGATTCTCAGCTATTGCAAGGTGAGTATAGTACATCATAAAATTCTTCATATAATTGCTGTTCATTAGCCTAGTATTCATTCTGTTCTCTACAATAAAATTTTGGACAAATCAAAGCTTTTTAATTCAGTTACATGAAGACATGAATCCCTGGTTGTGGTAGTGCAGTGTCCCACGTAATTTGATTCAACAATAATTTTTTATATCTTTTAGGGGAAGAAAGAATTTTAAAATCACAAGAAGGGAAAAGCAGAGCATAACACATTTACTGAGTCCAGTCCCATGTTCAAATGCCCTTTACCAAGTCGAGACTGTTAAGGAGACTAGTGGCTGTGGCTGAACTTATCCCTGCTGAGAAGGAAGGCACGCCAGGTTCTCGTGTCCTCAGCACAGGCACAAGCTCGTAACATAATGCCAGACAAGTCATTTAACTTCCCAGAGCATCAGTTCTTGCACTGGAAAAATGGGAGAACTGAAAAAGTTGACTTCTCAGGCTTAACTGTCTTTATGTCCAGTGATCCTCAGCTGGTCAGCTACTTGAATTGCCATTCCTTATCTGACTGTCTTCCATCACCATCGAAACCACCTCCCACATATATCTTATGAGCAACTGATTGTTCCTTCTGCCACTCCTGGTGGTCCGCACACTCACCCCGTCGAAGTGGGAGTAAGCCTGTTTCCACCAAAGCACAGCAGTGAGCACAGCTAGGCAGAACTGCAGCACAGTGCAAATCAGCATCAGAGACAAAGTTCCCTGAAAGTCAGGAAATAAGAGATTGGTGTTGCTTGAGTCAACCGAAAACTTCATGCCTGTTTGGGAGATGACTGTGGAGATAAAGACCATCTCGACCATCAGAGAACAAAGTAAGGACATTGTCAGGAAGAGAACAGTATCTTCCCATACCTCACAGTTGGCTCAATTCAATCCCTTCACTCATTTATTCTCTTGGGAGGAGGAGAGGCAACGAGTGGGAACTAAATCAACCAATGCACTTTACACACTTGTTTCTGACCTCTTTGAGACACATAATTCTGATGACATTGTTCACTCAGTAAGAAAGGAGAGTGGTGTAATGACTCCCAGGGTGGGGAATCAACAGCTCCATTCTAGTCACACTTTTCCTGCTTAGTAGTTATGTGAGCCTGGACAAGTCTCCTTCCTTCCCTAGCTCCTGTTTCCTCATTTATCAAACATGCATGATAGTATTTCCTTCTCGGAGACTTGTGAGGATCCACAGGTTTTGACTGTGCAAGCCCTTTGTAAAATTCAGTATTGCCACCCCTTTCTATATATCTGAACTCTTTTGGATTTTTTTGAGAGGGGCCTGTTTTGGTGGCTGTAAGAGTTAGAAAAAAATCATCAAGGTAGCAAACTGCCACAGTTGCTAATAACTCAAACCAATTCAAAAAAGAAACGACACCAAGAGGTAGGTTCTACCATTTCTCTCTTGAGGCATCCTTCATGATGAACTGGCCATCTGATAAAAAAGGGAGATAACTTGATTGCATACATCTCAAGTTCGCAGTATTTACACACAGTTAAAAAGGAGATACAACTTGTCTCCGTTACCTAGAAATCGTCCCAGCGAGCAAGCTGAACATAATATCCCTTATTTATAATGTAAAATTGTCCTATCATAAATTTATACTTTATTCACTACAAAGACTCCTCCCAAACTTCTCTCCAGAATTTTTCCAAAGGTGGAATGGGTTGTGTCAGGTGATAATTTATACCAATTACTATCAGCCTCATTTGCATATACTTTTTCTCATTATAATATCATTAACTTGGGGAGAAGCAAAGCCAGCTTTATAAAGAATGGCTACAAGCATGAATTTGACCAGACATTTCTATCTGTCCATCTTCCATCTGAGTCTTTGGCTTATCCCACCTTTATGATCGTAGGACAATAAATATTTAACAACCTCCTTATTCTTATGTGGCCTGCTTTTTCTCTCAATGCATTGCTGACGATATACATGCCCCTTAATCTTCCAGCTTAAGGCATACTATTTCTGTTAGCCAAACTTCATTGCTTTAATTGTTCTGAAGAGACAGATTTTCTTACAATCATCATCAGTTAACATTCTCCATCTCCCTGTATTTTTCATCTCCTAATTTAATATATCACACTTCTTTAAGTTGTAACAAAAAGCAACGATGGTGTTGCATCTCACCTGACCAGTACTACTGGTTACTGTGGTCACGGCAGTGGGGTCACCTTGCCTTCTAACTGCCTATTTTCTACTCTCCATTTCTTAGTGCTGGGTCTGATGTCCTCACAGACCAGGTTAACTCCCCACTGCACACACATGCCAGGTTTCCTTATTGGCATTTCCTGATCACCTGGGCTATGTTTGCCTTTCTTAATTCACCAATCCAAATACCAAGATTCTGTCTGACGAATTCATATTTTATGCCTCTAAAATTGAATCGGTTTGATAATTAAGAAACTCTACCAACAATAAGTTTTAGCTTTTTATTGTCAACCTTATTTGACATTTACTCTTCAATTTCACTCTATTAGTATGTAATCCCATAGCCTAGTCCCTTACTCTCATCCACGTAGTCCCCTTTCATTTGTACGACCATGGCCTTCCCCCAAATGCCCAAACCAGAAAGAACAGAGAGATTTTCAAAAGAAGGAATAACAAGACATCAAAGCTTTCAGAAACCTCATGAAATTAGAACATCCCATCTAAAAATACTTACAAACAGACTGGTTTGGGCCACAAAGCAGTACTTCATATATGGACCAAAAGAATAGAAAGAAAAGTAAGCTTCAGGGGGCCTGTTATTGTTGTCCATCTGACACTCGAGTGAAGCAGGAGTCAAAGCAGCCAGGGTGATAGAGAGGAGAATGAAACCCACTAGAGCAGACAGAGTGCTCAGAATGCTTCCAG